CCACCTATATGACGGCGGTCTGTAAATATACGAGTCTGGACCAGACAATGCAGTGTTTGACATCATGAGCATCGATCCACGCAATTGGGATACGATGACATGCATAAACCATTTGAACGTCGATCTCCCATCACAACGCTGAAGCAAAACACGTGGTTCATCACCAAACCAAACGTTTCGCCAGTATTGCAGATTCCCGATTTGAATGTTGATCCAATGAACAAGCAGTAGCTAATACATGAGTGAGTGAGTGAGTGAGTGAGTGAGTGAGTGAGTGAGTGAGTGAGTTAATATTTAACGTCACATCGGCAATACTCTAGCCATATCTACAAATGTTTGAATGCATTGCTGTTTTAGACAGACGAGCTGCACATGGATATTGTACACAAATCTTTCTCCACGTTCATGCGTATTTACACGACCTCACGCAAAAGTGCATTACAGTTATAAACGGTGGGGTTTGACGCGCTGAATCTTTCCATAAACATAAGTAAGTGTTTTGTGGTATGTCACTTCATCCTGACCGCTATGACGCAAACGTCATCAAGAACAATCGACAATGGAAACTGATTTACCCAACAATATTCAAAGGCAACGGGATTATATAATGCATTGATAACTGATAATTATGATCAATATGTTGATGGCGGACATAATCTCAGTGTCAGTGTTGATTTTGTTGATGGTTCTGTACTTCTGGACGGTACAGGAATGAGTGTCAACCTGGTAAAGTGCTACATCAAATCGGCCCAGACTCAGTTTTTTAAGGGAAGGCTATCTGAACGACCACTGCATTGAGTTTATGTGCAGTGTGTTTAGAAGATCAGCAGAGTCCTTCGCTTGGATGAGGTCGGCTGGCCTGTAAAGTGAAACAGTAGGTTTTCTTTTTGCTGCTTAGGACCAGTCACTTCCAACACGAAACCGTCAATGTGGGATTTTGCATCCAAATGTAAATATGAAATGTAGATTATGTAATGAATTTAAAGAGACTGTCACACATTGTCAGTGGAGACCCAGCTTTGGCACAAACACAGTGTCTTAAGTTATATGATGGAGTGGCTTGATCATTTTATTACCGTCTTCGCCATGCTTATGGTTTTGACACAGAGGTCCATCCATGGTGCGACCCGGAATATGTGGAGGGCGTCATGGGAAATGTTAATACAAAATTCTTTGGAATAGGCCCGTTTCCAGCCTAAGACGTATCCAGGCCAACAACCTGATCTTGTCCTTTTTGATAAATCCAATCAAATCATTTATATTTTTGAATTTTCTGTCCCTTTTGACACTAATGTGATTGACAAGATTCAGGAAAAACATGGCAAACATGCGGACCTCGCTTTCGAAATGTCACGCTTGCATCGCAAGTACCAAATTGTCCGACTCCCCATTGTTCTCGGTGCCTTAGGTTTGGTACCTCCCAACCTGTTGAGTGACATTGGGAGAGTACCCGGGTTTGCTGCCAGGAATACAGCCTTTCCGACACCCTGGGTAATGCAGAAGGCTGCAGTGTTGGGGAGTCTTCACATTCTCCGAAAAGTTCTCAGTGGGTTCGACTAGGCAGCGCTTCCTGGGAGAAGTTCCATTCGTTGTCTGGGCTGCGTGTAGATGGGACAAGGGATCTGAGCTGATGATGAGCCTAATCAGCCTGACTGTGCCAGGATCACCTAAACCCTCTTTGCTGCATTTTTTTATTTTAATCTGTTAATAATAATGATAAGAACTTTAATAATGATAATAACTTGGGAGTTATTGACCATCTCGTGGAAAGTCAGGCCTATACGTACTTTGAAATGCAGGTTAGGGACTAATTCCAGAATGCCTATGTACAGGACAGACTTCGGGCAGAGTACAAATGCAGATGAAGTAAGGTGAGGTGAAATGGGATTTAACGGGGTTAAAATGGGGTTCAAGATTATTGCATTTACATAACGATGTGCATGCACAAATGTGTGTGTGTGTGCGTGCGTGCGTGCGTGCGTGAGTGCGTGCGTGCGTGCGTGAGTGCGTGCGTGCGTGCGTGCGTTCGTGTGTGTGTGTGTGTGTGTGTGTGTGTGTGTGTGTGTGTGTGTGTGTGTGTGTGTGTGGCTACTTGTAGCAGTCCGGACTAACGCCGATTTTATGGTGCTAGCCCACTGTGGTACCGGAAATAGAACCCACGACCCTCCGCTCTCCACGCAGAGTTGAAGATGTGTGGGCCGAGGCTGTTGGTGACAGAGTTGATATAGTGTGGGCCGAGGCTGTTGGTGACAGAGTTCAAGATGTGTGGGCCAAGGCTGTTGGTGACAGATTTGAAGATGTGTGGGCCGAGGCTGCTGGTGACAGAGTTGAAGATGTGTGGGCAGAGGCTGTTGGTGACAGAGTTGATATAGTGTGGGCAGAGGCGATTTTTAACAATGATGGTATTGTATTGAAATGAAGTTACATAAGACAACGCACAAGAACGCCTTGCACTTGAAGACTGCTGTGTTTGTCCATTGTAATTCTGACTGCATCTGCAGGAATTGTCAGCATCTGTGAATAAAACACCGCGGTATAACAAGACTGGTGAATTGTGAAAGATGTAAACTTAACTAATCATGGTTGACTTGGATCTGTGACTATGTTACAAGTCGATGTGCTGTGATGAAAACGTCCCCAGCACGGTCACTAGGGATCACACATGAATGTGTGACAAGACGATGTACAGTTATGTAAACGTCCCCAGCACGGTCCCTGTGGATCACACATGAATGTGTTACAGGGCGATGTACAGTTGTGTAAACGTCCCCAGCAGTGTCCCTAGGGATCACACATGGGTGTGTTACAGAGCGATGTACAGTTATGTACGTCCCCAGCAGTGTCCCTAGGGATCACACATGGGTGTGTTACAGGGCGATGTACAGTTATGTAAACGTCCTCACCACGGTCCCTAGAGATCACACCTGGATGTGTTACAGGGCGATGTACAGTTCTGTACGTCCCCAACACGGCCCCTTTGGATCACACATGAATGTGTTACAGGGCGATGTACAGTTATGTAAACGTCCCCAGCACGGTCCCTGCGGATCACACATGGGTGTGTTACAGGGCGATGTACAGTTATGTAAGCGTCCCCAGCACGGTGTCTAGGGATCACAGGTAGATGTCACAGTTATCGAGAAATGTTTGTATGTTGAGATGAGCTTACTTCAACAAATGACAGATATGCAGATAATATTTTCTATAAAATCGGACTTGTTGTTGACTGTATGGACAATGTTAAATCTACCGCTGTTAAAACTAACAACTTCATACAATAGGAAACTGACCATACTTTCTGTCAAGTCATACTCGTGAAAATATCCATATCCCCAAAATGAATGGACATTTTTCTTCTCATTCAGATTGATGAATGCAGACTGTGTTAAAACTGGCAACGATTCAACATGTACAATATGAAACTAACTTTACAGTGTGGAACGAAGTAGCCTCCCAAAATGGATGCCTCGTCGTTCCTCGTCCATGTCACCATCCAGTTCCTGTTGGAGTCCCGAAACCAGATGTCCTTAGTAAAGGTAGAAATGTCGGGGTAGATTCGAACCTCAGCAATGTAGAGGAAAGTATCCATCCCAATCTGTTGAAGAGAAACAGTTTAATTAACTGAATGCGTCATCTTAAACAAAATACCTCCAAATATGTTTATCATACTAAACCCTTTCTCCGCCGAAAACAAAAATACATCGTAGATACATTTAATATGCAATAATCTCGAACGATTTCGTAATACAGAGGTAATAAGTGACGTGGCATGGGCTAAGTCTAATATTTACAATAGGCTGAATGGTCAACTTTAGGGATCAGTAAGCTTTAATCCGAGATTGTTTGGTTGTTTTTACTCAAAACATAATTAACACCATAATACTAAAATGTTTTCACTAAGAGACATTAGAACTATCTACCACACATACTGTGTAAACATTTTTCAAAACGATCCTTACAGTTTGTGCACACCACCCTCGTGCTATGAAGCGATAGACATGACGTCACAGGACGTTATAAATGAGCGGTAACTTAATGTCAAACTGTGTTAATGTAACTGAACTTAAAACACCCTCTCTAAGACGTTCTTCGTCGGATTTCCCATTTTAAAAAAATATTGCCACATTTTCTGTAAATAATCTGGATCTCGAACACTTTGTTCCGCAACATTTGTTCAGTGAAATCGGTATTTCAAATTTACTACCGGTCGGGTTTCAGAAAACTGCTTTCAAAGATATAGTTTCATCTACATTGATGCGATCATTAGCAAAAGCAAAGTCTTGCGTAGATTCGATACCGCTGGCGGACCAATCAGAATGCAGAGTACTAAATGTCATGATAGAATCATTTGTATTGCATGTTTCACGTGGAGCACTTCACAGTAACTCTGATTGAACCTATGTTCGTTTCCTAAAGTTATCAAACCATGCTCCGTAAACAATGCTGTTGTTGTGGGTAGTTTTACACATGCATCACTCAATTATGAAAGTTTGGGGAAAATGTTTTCTGGCAGGGAAAGTGTCGGGAACTAAATTCCATTACTGAACCTAGACTGTATTGTGGACATAGTGGTTGACTTACAGTGGACTCACAGACTGATAAGTCACTGACTTCACAGTGAACAATAGAAGAAGCCAGTAGCACTTGGAGCCTCTTTTGCTTTACTGGCAATGACAGACGGGCATTATTCTTCACCCACAGGCAATCACATCCCAGCGGTCAATATACCCCTGCTGCCAGGATGGGTGTCATAAGTGTATTAGATTTACATGTGTCGGCGATTCCCATAGTTTCCGTAGTTAGTGTAATTACTTTCCTGAAGCGTATTTTCCTATAAAGGACAAACATGCAAAGCGGGTCAAGCTGACATGTAGATTGTTTATATAATAGATTTGAATGCTACATGTTTTGTGTAAACACTACACCAACTAAGATACATTGTAAGTGATCTTTTCGATGAAGTTGTCTAGTGGCAACATAATGCTAACGATAATATTCACCTCAATCCACGGAGCTGCATCGTCCGACCTTGGCTTCCAGACAGAGGCAGAACCTCCAATGACATTGCTTAATGGATACCTGAAATATTACAAGTCATACAGTGACCCTTGCCATATAAATAAGGTGAAAATAAACTTTGCATTTCATTAATAAATGGATGAGAAAATACATATATATCACCACAACTATTCCAATTGTACATCAGTGTTTCAAAAGGTAGCTCACCTGGATACATTAGTTGCTGTGTAACTGTACTTCGTGTATCGGTATCTGTGTTTGTGTGGTGCTTGACATATCAGTTCTATTTCTATAAGTATTAGTCGTAGATGAGTTGATATTGACAATCAAGCAAGGTGCAATAAAATATTCTCATTTCAATTGGATTTAAATATTATGGTTAATATGTTACTTTTGAAATGTATTTTTCTTGTGTTTAATAGTAATGCTTATATCGCATCGCTTTAAGTCAGTTTCGGTGCTCAAGTCACACTCCTATCATTGAATATTGGTTGACGAATGAAATTCTTCGTCGTGAAGACTTTGTCCTTTTTGCGTTGCCCTGTGACGGAACTTGGTACTTAATCCATATGTCGATTTGGAAAATTATAAGCATATCAACAATCCCAAAGCCATAAAGTAAGTACTTGAGAAAACCCAGAAAGCTTTGATATAATTGATAATTGAGAGAGAAAAATATAGATGCAAAAAAAATACACATGGTGGAAGAAAAATCCAAAACAACAAGCTGGACTTCTTTTTGGTCTTACAAGACATTGCAAATATAACTATTGATTCTACAATTTAAAAAATGTGTAATACCCCACGTGACAGGCCAGCACGTGACAATAGCCCCACGTGATTGGGCTGCACGTGACAAAACTTCCAATGTCACTATGCCGACAATAGGCCATAAATGACATTGCTCACTCATCTGTGATAAAACTGTTCCACTGGCTAGGAATCGCATGCACTGGTTATTTATTTTCATCCTGAAGAGTTGACTTTGTCGATTGTACGTGATTACGTGATTACACATCAACGTGTTGGAACCCTGATCGGAATATTTTAAATAAAGACACCAAGTCATAAATCCGATATGCTGTTCTGATTCTAATCTAGTGGGGATGACAAAAACGTACCCATTGCCCTGTGATGAAGCGTTGATCGCTACTGTCATCCACTTTCCAATCAGACCTGTGAAAGAAACAGGAGCGAAGTTACTACAAATTACAAATAGTTCAACGTGGAGCATGTTTTAGAACATATAGACACAATATCAATATTTCAATATGTTTAAGCAATAGAAATCACTATACGCTTGTAAATTAGAATACATTTATCATTAATAATGATTTCACGTGAGCAGTGGCATTGTTGACGCATTGCAGATTCCGTTTGTGACGTGATACATACATATTCGTTTGTGACCGTGACAAATTCATATTCGTTTGTGACGTGACATATTCATTTTTGTTTGTGAAGTGACAAATTCATTTTCGTTTGTGAAGTGACAAATTCATATTCGTTTGTGACCGTGACAAATTCATATTCGTTTGTGAAGTGACAAATTCATATTCGTTTGTGACCGTGACAAATTCATATTCGTTTGTGAAGTGACATATTCATTTTTGTTTGTGAAGTGACAAATTCATATTCGTTTGTGACCGTGACAAATTCATATTCGTTTGTGAAGTGACATATTCATGTTTGTTTGTGAAGTGACAAATTCATATTCGTTTGTGACCGTGACAAATTCATATTCGTTTGTGAAGTGACATATTCATTTTTGTTTGTGAAGTGACACATTCATATCAGTTTGTGACGTGACACATTCATATCAGTGTTTGACCTGACACATTCATATAAGTTTCTGACGTGACACATACATATTCGTTTGTAACGTGACATATTCATATCAGTTTGTGACGTGACACATTCATATCAGTTTTTGACCTGACACATTCATATCAGTTTGTAACGTGACACATACATATTCGTTTGTAACGTGACACATTCAAAACAGTTTGTGACGTGACACATTCATATCAGTTTGTGCCGTGACACAAACATATTCGTTTGTAACGTGACACATTCATATCAGTTTGTGACGTATCACATTCATATCAGTTTTTGAACTGACACATTAATATCATTTTGTGACATGACACATACTTATTCGTTTGTAATGTGACACATTCATATCAGTTTGTGACGTGACAGATTCATATCGGTTTGTGACATGACACATTCATATCAGTTTGTGACATGACACATACATATTCGTTTGTAACGTGACACATTCGTATTAGATTGTACCGTGACACACTGGTATCACTTTGTACCGTGACACATTCATATTCGTTTGTGACGTGACATTCATATTCGTTTGTAACGTGAAACATACATATTCGTTTGTGACGTGACATACATGTTTGTTTGTAACGTGACACATAAATATTCGTTTGTGCAGTGACATTCATATTCGTTTACGCTTTGACATACATATTCGTTTGTGACGTGACACATACATATTCGTTTGTGACACATACATATTCGTTTGTGACGTAACACATTTATATTCGTTTGTGACGTGACATACATATTCGTTTGTGACACATACATATTCTTTTTTTTGTGAAGTGACACATTCATATCAGTTTGTGACATGACACATACATATTAGCTTGTAACCTGACAAATACATATTCGCTTGTGACGTGATGCATTCATATTATATAGAATACTTAGAGAGCTCCCTTGTAATACCAATTTTATGAAATGAGTAAATTGTTCTGGTATCTGAAGAACGAAAATTTGTCTATGAAGCTATGAAACTATGAAACGAGTTTCATAAAATTGGCATTACACGGGTCCGAGTTTGGTGTTTTATTTATTACTTGCCGTGTACTACTTTTCAAAAAGCCACCGTCGTGTGTAAATAGGCGGCAGAGATCTACGCTATGGACAGCATCACCTAATTGAGTGTGTCCTTCCACAAAGCTATCCTCACGCTGAGATGATTGTAACTCCCATACTTTAACATAAACTTTTGACTGTCGCTGTGCTACGATCGCTTTGTGGAACGGGACCCTGCAGCACAAAGTTTACAAATACGTCACTATACCCTATTTGCAATAACAAATGTAAATGTAATTAATTACATTTTACAATTGTATAATGAACATTATATATTCCTAACTGTTATTCGTATTGTACTATAATCTTTGAGACTGTCTGCGTATGAACTAATCACGACCGCTTCCGTCAATTTTGTTTTGACGTCAAAAACATTGACAATTTCATCGGGATTTATCAAATCACGGAAAATTCTCAATGAATGTGTACTTCGACATAAATGTCATAAGTCTATCACCGTTAGGATATGTACTTGCCAATGATTTGAATCATTGGACATTTAGATTTGAACAAGGGCGTTTGTTTCATTTTACTTGCCACATTCGGGTGCTTCCATATCGCGATTAATGAAAAAAAAGTAGGAAACTGACAATACCAGCACTTCTATCGATGGCTAGGCAGTGCATTGATCTTTGGAGCTTTTACTGTAGATGCTGTTGGAAAGACAATCAACTCCAGTTGAATGTTATACAATTTGGTTACGCTGCGTGAAGTCATAAGAACGTTGTAACACTTTTGAAGCAGCGTATACGTTTTTGAAACCGCGACGTCATCACAGTGCGGTACTGAGAGGTGTTCACAGCAAGCTGACGGCCAGGCACCATGAGGGTTAAATGAAAACAAGGGGCAGAAATGAAGGCCAGGCCTCACGAGGGTTAAGTGAGAACAAGGGCAGTAATGACGGCCAAGCACCATGAGGGTTAAGTGAGAACAAGGGCAGTTATGACGGCCAGGCACCATGAGGGTTAAGTGAGAACAAGGGGCAGTAATGACAGCCAAGCACCATGAGGGTTAATTGAGAACAAGGGGCAGTAATGACGGCCAAGCACCATGAGGGTTAAGTGAGAACAAGGGGCAGTAATGACGGCCAAGCACCATGAGAGTTAAGTGAGAACAAGGGGCAGTAATGCGTATCCCAGCAGGAACGTGCTTACTACAATCCGAGTTGTGACTCAGACAGGCATGTGTGTAATAACACTGTGCATGATGTTAACGCAATGAAACAAAGGAAATGTCGACTGTTTAGAAACGCATTAGATAAATAAATAAACTGGTTCGATGTCGTCATGGATCGCTGAGTCAAGGTGACTCAGATCGGATGGAGGGAGGAAAGTGTGCTATCAATAAACGTTTGAGGGATGTATCCTCTGTGTCAGGTTGTGTGGCCTTTTGTGCAGAGTTCATTCATCCCACGGTCTTCGTCAAGGTTCCGCGCTCAGATAAAAGAAAACTTTTCAACTACTACCAATCATCTCCACCACCAACACCTCCAATACCGCCAATACTACCAATACCACCTCTGCCACCATTAAAACCACTACTAACAACAACCTCCTCCCCCGCCCCACCAACACCCCCACAACGACTAAAGACATGTTGTTCTAGTTTTCGTTGAAACATTGTAGTAACTTGTTTTAAGACCATGTTGTTCTAGTTTCCGTTGAAACATTGTGGTAACATGTTTTAAGACCATGTTGTTCTAGTTTTAAGACCATGTTGTTCTAGTTTTCGTTGAAACATTGTAGTAACATGTTTTAAGACCATCCTGTTCTAGTTATCGTTGAAACATTGCAGTAACGTGTTTTAAGACCATGTTGTTCTAGTTTTCGTTGAAACATTGTAGTAACATGTTTTAAGACCATGTTGTTCTAGTTATCGTTGAAACATTGTAGTAACATGTTTTAAGACCATGCTGTTCTAGTTATCGTTGAAACATTGCAGTAACATGTTTTAAGACCATATTGCTCTAGTTTTCGTTGAAAGATTGTTATGACATGACTAAAGACATGTTGTTCTAGTTTTCGTTAAAGCATTGTGGTAACATGCTTTAAGGCCATGTTGTTCTAGTTTTCGTTGAAACATTGTAGTAACATGTTTTAAAACCATGTTGTTTTAGTTTTCGTTTAAACATTGTAGTAACATGTTTTTAGACCATGTTGTTCTAGTTTTCGTTGAAACATTGTAGTAACATGCTTTAAGGCCATGTTGTTCTAGTTTTCGTTGAAACATTGTAGTAACATGTTTTAAGACCATGTTGTTTTAGTTTTCGTTTAAACATTGTAGTAACATGTTTTAAGACCATGTTGTTCTACTTTTTTTTGAAACATTGTAGTAATATGTTTTAAGGCCATGTTGTTCTGGTTTTCGTTGAAACATTGTAGTAACTACCTAGTACCTGTACCTTCAATTTTTTTATTACCAACCAGACCAGAACCTCATCGGATAAAAAGACAGAGAAAATATTTCATTTTTAATAGAATATAGAAAATGGAACACCAGGCTAAAAATAAAGATAAATGAGAGTTATCTCCTATTATCTCAATCATCGATTTTCATATTTTTACAGTGCAAACCATTTCAATACTTTTATTTATAAAAGTACAAACCTTTTCAATACTTCAATAATCTCTGGCACTATCTATAAATTAGGAGATAAACCTACTGTATTTGAAATGTGATGTAGTCCCATTGTAGAGTAGATACCTCTTTACTTTAATATCTATTCTACAGTGGGACTACATCAATTTTCAACACACAGTAGGTTTATTTCCATTATACCATGACAGCAACAACGCTTTGAAAACGGTGCACTCTTGCAACCCGTAACAACACAGGGTACAAAGGGACGCAATCTTAGATCATTCCGATCAGTGGTCAAAGGTAATTATATATGCAACAAATATTGCTAATGTTCAAGATCAAAAACACCTTAATCTTGATTAGTTCAAAATAAGTGTTAAAAAAACAAAGTTTTTCAAAAAGAAGTTGACAAATAACCCTCCAAACCTAGTCCAAAGTCAAATGTTTTAATTTCTTCCAACCTTTTCTGCACTGTTTGGACTGACCAAGTCATTTCTTGGAATTATGCGAGAGAGGTCATTTCTTGGAAATCGAACATGCCATTTTCATTGTAAGGGTGACAGGTTGTAAAAATAGTTTTTAAAATGCTAAACGAATATATTTCCACAACAAACTTTATGAATTAACATTCTATTGTGTATTTAACATGTGTAAGTCTTATTAGTTAGTTAGCAATTACCCCAGAAGATAATTACAAAAATCAAAATAATTGCCTCTCCACCCCGAACTTGAATGTGGCAGAACTTGACCTACATCACGGTTACTCACACCTCACAACTGTCAATGGCTGACAGTGTTGTGTTTACAGTTTGTTCCTCAGACAAGTTACTACACAAGCAAGATGACAACCGCGATCTTCGATGTGGTTCAACATTAACCTGTAGATTTTACTGGGAATGAGCCTGCTGGTACAATGCGATTGCCAATGGAACTTAGTGTGACTGTGACCGCGTCCGTGGTCTTGTGGTAGAGCAACCGCCCGGAGAGGGGAAGGTCCGGGGTTCGATTACCGGCCACGTCATACCAAAAGACGTTAAAATATGGTACTTGTTGTTACCCTGTCTGGTGCTCGGCATTAAGGGGCTAAAACAAGGACTGGTCAGCTCGGAGTCAGTATATTGTGTCTGAGTGGGGTATTTATGTTAAACTGCGGCATGGTATCTCAGTGAGCTAGCACTATAAATAGGCATCAGTCCGGACTAGTACAAGCAGCCACACAAACGAACACACGAACATGCACGTCGCAATAATCTTTGACGCGACGTTAAACCCCATTTCACCTCACCTAGTGTGACTGTTGACATGGTTGAAGCCGCTTTTAAGGCTGCAAACGAGCCGGCTATTTTGACACAAGCAACCTGCATGATTTGACCTGTTAATTTATTTCAAGATTTCATGGATTCAAAGCCAGAGTGTGAAAGCAATGAGACCTTTGTGGCCCAGAAATAGAGGTTCGTGTAAAATTTTCTTAATTGTGCGTGTTCTGAAATGAATTTCATCAAGTTTGATAAGCGTCGACTTAAATGATGTCGGGACATTGTATCCGTGATCTTTCGAAGGGAGGAGTGTTTTCGATGGATTTTCAAATCTCCTGCCAAATCCTTATGGTGGTGGTTGACGGAGATGGCAATGAATATTGATCACAAAAAGGTTTGTAAACATCATATTGTCATAAATAAAGTTTCTTCAAACACATTTTTATAATGTCATATTTTACTTTTATTGTGGGTTGTTTCAATGACGATCAAAATTACCTGTTCCGAGTCTGTTTGTCATCGAACATGCCCCTAACAGTTTTATAAACATTTCATTTGATGCAAAAGTTATGCCTTCGTAAAGTCTTGTAATCTCATCATCGAAGCAGTCAGGGGTAGGGCCTTGAACATCATCGTCGCCAAAAACATCCATATCAAACTACTGTATTTCCTCTATTACACCCTAATTTCGCGAGAGCCGTTTACTCGTTGTGTATAAGAGACCTGGCTTGTATTAGAGACCCAGCGAGGAAAAATAGATACGTTTTACCGTTCATGTGGGGGTGATAGATCGGCAGCTATTTCTTTATGAATCGATATGTAAGGCTATCCATGTATTCATACACACGTTTATATGGGTGAAAAGGCTTGATATATTTGAAAGGGGTTACCGTAACAAAAAGCAAAACCTCTTTTTAACCAATCAGAATCAAGCATTCATCAATATCATGGTAGAATGTCAGTTAACACCCCTTCACGTCGCCGGATCTTACGTATGTGCATGTGAGTGGGTCAATGACCTTGCCCCACGTTACGTAATACCTCTGTCTAGAAAACCTGACTGCCATGATCAGTCAGAGAGAGAGGCCCAGATCATCGACAGGAGCGGGCAGATTGTATGTCGCCCCACCAACGACCAGTGTACACCCGACTTCCCGACTCAGTGTTATTGACAGAGCGGATCTCCGCGTCAGGGGAACATATTTGCCACTGGGTCCCGGTGTGCGTTCTGTCATGTGATTACCATTATATGTACCATTTCGACATATTTCAACCTGCAACAATAAAAACGGCTGCTGTCGTCTGAAGTCTCACCTCTGAGTTTTGTCTTCCGTCATCACCCTGAGCTAACATCCGAGGGCGAAAGGTACGCTCTTGGACAATATGACTAAAATATCAGTCTGAAACGATGCCCAGCAATATGCAACTCAAAAATATGAAACACTATAGCTTAATTCAGTATCAAGATGTATACTTTCATGAATTGTTTGGATTATCTGCGTATCAGAGGGACTCTCAACTGATGCTGACTTCAGCTGTACACACTGTCTTAGATTGGCACGTGTGTTTCTAACGTCAAGACCTCCCTACCACAACGACATAAAAGTATCATGTCTACCACTGTTCTTTGACACACGTTGTCCTTGAGTCTTCATATCTCAAGTGCGATGCCAAGGGATTCCAGCTAGGATTGAATTTCTGTGTAATCCATATGTGAGTCTAAACAGGATTTTAACTCAGAATTAAATACTGTTTATGACAGATTTCACTATATGTAGTAAAGTGTTCACTTTGATAACGTATGAAAACAATATAACAAACGGAATTTCAAAGAATTAAAGATGTCCTTTAGCGTACTGTTTCACCCCTGGTACAAACACATCTCATTCGACACCTACAGGTAAATAATATGTCTTCTGCTTAAATTGCCAAAACAAACATAGAATAAGAATAACAGAATAAACGAACCGAGTCGAATGTTCATTTGTAATGAACGTCAGAATGTTACTTGTCAATACTGTTATCTCTGAAATTTGGATCTTAGGTGAAATACTCTGGAATTCTCACCTGGTTTGCTGTAGTACGTATAACCAGGTGCGGAGACCATTACTAAAGGGTAACCCAGGGGGCAGATACAGTCCTGGGTGGCGCGGTTGTAGAAGAAGTTACCAGCACTGAATCGGTCACAGACCAACAAACACTCCACCAGACTAGTCGCATTGCCACGTCGTCTTATGCCTTTCTCGATCTTCTTATCCTGGTAGTAGGAACCAAATTCATACTTAGTATTACATTGTGTCATAGTTATTCTCTGACCAGTGACCATACAGATGTTCAAAGCAGCTGCCCACACTGTCCAGTATCCGGCCATCATGTCTGTGGGTAGTTCCTGCTGGTTCGTCGACTGAACGTCACTCCTGCTACCTGCAATGTTTTCACCAAGTCCTGTGAATCACGGGCATCAAGTATCGTCTCCAGGATACACTTGGATGATCTAACTGGTGCGCTGTTACTGTGGTCATACCCAGGCTCCTTGCCAACAGGGTAAGAATGGTTACATTATTAACGTGTTTCACCGATTGGCTGTTCAGTATTTTCAGATTGCTGGCATGCTTGTCTGATTGGTTGGAACTTCTGATTGACGTTACCCTACATTGGTTACCCATTGTATTTTAATGCGCGAAATCGTTAGTTATAGTTACAGTTCAGGCAATTTCTTTTGCTATTGCTTATTCCAAGCTGAATGATGCATATTTAAGAAGGAATTCTTCACAATGTTTGTGTGGATGATTATCGACATTTCCGTTGTGGGGGATGAGCTGGGGAGAGGCATACCCAGACACATCGATGACGGGTACAAGACATATGCAGTAGCTGATCAGATGAGCTGCGATGACCTTATGGCTGGTGCTTAGTACAAGGTCGAAGAGAAATACTGGAGCTGCGTTGCTAAATGAACATGAACATTACAAATAGAATGCTGTACCATATTTTTGATGGATCAGAAGCCAGTGCTAATCCTTCAGGTGTTATGTGTTTTGGTATATTCTGATGTGTTATGATGATATATATATACTAGTACTTTACAAGACAGGGGAAGTAACGTGGGTGTACATATACTCCCATCTGACCTGTGAACTGGATTTTTTTTTAAATACGTTTATTTAAGAAATGCAGATTTTTCTCTGAAAACAGGAGACAAACAATTTAAAGGGATCGACAAAAACACAATAGAAGGACGCTGAACTTATCATTATTTTGGGAGGAACCATAGTACTTGTGTCAATCTCTCAAACCAGTCATGTTTGTATGTTGTGCAAAGAAGATGATGACAGTACGTACGCATCATGATCTCTTTAAAGACGGAAGCAGGTTCTGCTCCACGATCCTAAGGTCAGTTGAGCCCACACAATGATGCTTCCTCCTCTACAGCATATGCCAGCCACCGCTGTGATGCTTCCTCCCCAACATAGGTAAACCAACACAATGATGCTTCCTCCCAATCATAGGTCAACCCACACTATGATGCTTCCTCCCCAACCTAGGTAAACCGACACTATGATGCTTCCTCCCCAACATAGGTAAACCCACACTATGATGCTTCCTCCCCAGTATAGGTAAACCCACACTATGATGCTTCCTTCCCAACATAGGTAAACCCACACTATGATGCTTCCTCCCAAACATAGGTAAACCCACACTATGATGCTTCCTTCCCAACATAGGCAAACCCACACTATGATGCTTCCTTCCCAACCTAGGTAAACCGACACTATGATGCTTCCTCCCCAACATAGGTAAACCCACACTATGATGCTTCCTCCCCAGTATAGGTAAACCGACACTATGATGCTTCCTCCCCAACATAGGTAAACCCACACTATGATGCTTCCTCCCCAACCTAGGTAAACCGACACTATGATGCTTCCTTCCCAACATAGGTAAACCCACACTATGATGCTTCCTCCCAAACATAGGTAAACCGACACTATGATGCTTCCTCCCCAACATAGGTAAACCCACACTAAGATGCTTCCTCCCCATCATAGGTAAACCCACACTATGATGCTTCCTCCCCAACATAGGTAAACCCACACTATGATGCTTCCTCCCCAACATAGGTAAACCAACACTATGATGCTTCCTTCCCAACATAGGTAAACCCACACTATGATGCTTCCTCCCAAACATAGGTAAACCCACACTATGATGCTTCCTCCCCAACATAGGTAAACCAACACGACCACTACGATGCCTCCCCGTTCCCCGCCTCTGTAAATTCAGAACCTTTAATCAGCAGCATTTAGAATGAATTTCGATCTGTCAGTGTAAACCACGTAGCACAATTTGCAATCTGGTCCATCTAACGCCTGACGTGACCTCTTTCCAGGAAGAGTTCTCATTGTGTAACACATTCGGTCTCGTGCTATCTATTTGCAGATACTCAATAATATTTGTTTGTTGTAACGCCGCACTCAGCAATATTCCAGCTGTATGACGGCGGTCTGTGTATAATCGAGGCTGGACCAGACAATCCAGTACATGACATCGATCCACGCATTTTGGATACGATGACATGCATCAACCAGCCGCTTTGAGCAATATTCCAGCAACATCACGGCTGGGGACACCAGAAATGGGCTTCACACATTGTACCAATGTCGGGAATCGAACCCGTCTCCTTGGCGTGGCGAGCGAACGCTTTAACCACCAGGCTACCTGACCGCCCCATGTCGGATAAAGACCTAAGATGTATTCTATTAAGAAGTCTGATAATGGGGAGATATAAGAAAAGCTGAGTGTGTTAAGAAGAATGTGGTAAAAAGCATATCAAACACGAACAGTGTAAAGAAGCATTATTCAATGGTAGGACATTCAAACACGAGATGAACTCTTAAAAAATTACAATAACAGGAAATATGGATTAAGAATGAACAAGACATCACTATCCCCCTTAGATACAAAGCGATACTCTGATAATGATGGTGTAACTACCTGTGCTTATAGTTATGGCAGTAATACTGTATTGTTGGGAACTATGAGCAAGTCTTCTCGTACAAATGCCCTGCCCGGTCCAGCTTTAAAACAATAAAGAATAGACTCTCCTTCTTTCGTAACCAACCGACTTATGTTCTATATCTTAAGGGACCAAATCGGATCGGTTGCGCGACGTAGGCCTCCTTCGAGTTCACCGCCTGGTATTAATATCTTATGCTTACTCTATTCTGAAGTTTTTGTTCTTTGCCTCTCCTCGGTGCTGAAGATTCGGAAGTCACAGATTTCATTTTAATCGCATCGGATGGTTTCTTCCCGATTAATCTTGTTACTTCATTATTCAGGGTTGATACAACAGCTGATAATCGTGTCACCTATTCGGTTGATCTTAATCGTTCTGATTTCATTTCAATCCCATACTGATAGCCAAACAAACATTCCGCTAATGTCCGGTAAAATCTTTCAACGATAGCTTGACTACGGTGGGCCTCTTTTTCACCACGCCTGATTTCTACATCGTGCTTTGTTTCCCATAAGCTCGCAACTAGGGTCTACTTGAAATAACTTAGGCCATTTTAGTGGTCCGCGTTTATATATCCAGCTCAGTGCATTAGCTACTTCTGTTGAATCTTTCAAGGTTAATGGCTGAGCCTCTTTGTACCGACTAGCCACATCCACTACGGTTAAAGCGTATTTATACGTTTTGCGTCTTACCTCATCGTGGGGAAGAAACAAGAGGTCAGCGTGACTTCATTCGTTGTAGAAATACCAAACTTCTTACTTGGGATATAACGCGGTGCCGGTAAGTATACTTGCCACGTCGCTTGTTTCTTTAACCAATCCTTGTTATCTTAAGATACCTTAGCCGCAATGGCTAATTTTTTTATTGCTCCTATACCTTTCCAATATCCTCGTGGGCTATAGTAAATTTTATCCATTAGTAATTAACCCTTTCGCCCCGACTGCCCGATTTATCGGGCAGGATAAACCGTGTCCCAGGACCCGGCTGCCCGAAAAATCGGGCAGCATAAGCCGAGGCCCAGAACCCGGCTGCCCGATAAATCGGGCGGCGCGAGCGTGTTTACAAAATCGCTCTTTCTACTTCCTTTCTCGTGTGTAATCTCGTTCTAAATATGGAAACGAGATCTACACGTATTGACACGTCATTCGATGGAATTTCCCCGTCTTTTTGGCGCGAAAATCGCGGGTATGTCACCTGTTTTCGCGACAGGTATTTTTCTCGCTTGAATCGTAAATCAAGCGTAATGGCGGCCAACTACGATTCGGATAGCGATCAGATGATTAACAACGACTATATCGGGAATAATAATGTGTTTGAATTGAATAATTTACGCGAAGGGGAGAGGGAATTTCGCGAATATTTTCGTGAAGATTTTGACGGTTTCGACGAGGTGTCCCCCCCCCGCCAACTTTCGAGAATGGGAGTGGCAGAGGGACACACGACAGTGGAGACATGAGGGATTTTGAAGAGGCGACCGGATTCAAGAATATATATTGACACGGTGAGTGAAGAGTCGTGCTATTGATTTTTTCCAACTGTTTTACATTGATTCTGTGTTTGAACAGATTATCAGTGCGACGAATGAGAATGCAGCCTACACGTGAACGAGCGATCACAACAACAACAAAGGTGAGTGGCATGACGTATCTGTTTTTTTTTTTTTAAATTTATTTTTCTGATCGCAATCCGAATTGTAGTTTGCCGGTTTGTCGTATGTCCTTATATTTCGCTCAATTTGAATAAAATTTATTTCCATATTCATGTTTGTTTTCTTGTTTTTTACATCTTAATTTAAATTTTAGTAACTGTAATGATTATTTATTTATTAATTGATTTAATACAGTACTGATTTAATTTATTATGCAATTGTAAATAGCAGTGTATTGTAAATATGTTATCACAACTTGTATATTTGCAGAACTTGAATTTACGATCTTTCCGTCCTTTTACAATGTTTCCCTCTTCAGATCAATCTGTGTTATCTTCCCTGTGATGTCATTCTTATAGTAGCTGTGGTTCAATGTTCAGATAATGTGATAAATAACTTTTTAAAAACTTAAATACTTAATTTTTGTTTCAAATCCTGAAAAAGAACAAAATAAATCAAATATTTGTGTTTTTACCTGTGTTAACGAGTTTACCTGCGTTAACAAGTTTACCTGTGTTAACGAGTTTACCTAAGAGGCTGTAAGTGTATCATAAGTAATATGTGACATCAGTATAGAAAACAAAGTCAGTACCAAGAGTTGTAAACTTGTTTATTTGTTTACAGATGTGCATGAAGAGAATTTACCTGTAACACCTGGGATTACCTGTGCCGTCCAAGATGACAAGACCACTGTGTTATGTTTACCTTGTATCTGTGATTTATTTTTGTGATTTGTAATACAATTTGAGCCAAAATTCCTTGTCTGTTTTCATTTTTTCAGTGTTTTCAAGTTTTATTTCACTTGTAAACACCTGTAATTAGAAAATAACAAAGGTTAGAGACAATAACAACAAAGAATATTAAAGTATACTTAATCCTCTTTACAATGGTATATGATAAATGTATATTAAAAGCAAGTTTCTGGTAGAAAAAGTGCATCAAAAATGATAGTGTGATTTTCCAATAATACTGCCAGGGAGGCCAGTGTACAGGCCTTGTCAGTGTCAGGGACTGCAGGGTCTCAAGGGACATAACTCTGGGGCAGCCAGTGATGAAAGAGTTAATATTGATGATTCTTTTTATACGAATCATGACGATCGTTGAATCACATCATCATTTTTGCAT